ACTACGCCTACTGCACCAGCCATGTATTGCTATTCCTAAGCAATTTCGAAGTTACCTCATACTCGAGTTCATATCTGAAAAAGTGTAGCCTTCTGCCATTTTTATATAATATAATTCTGCAAAAGGCTACACTTTTGGATACATATCTGAATGCCTTTTTTGTCATCAAGACTTTTTAGTAACACCTGACTAGATGAAGGCTTTTGCCAATATTTATATAATATAATTCCACAGAAGCCTTCATACTATATCGACTATATATCTAGAAAAGTGTAGTCTTCTGCTAATATTTTATATAATGATTTCGCAGAAGCCTACACCTTTAAATGCATATTCAGATGTCCTCCTTTTATGATTTGCTACCCAAGTATAAGTATCCAATATATGTCACATATATCTGAGTGCATACTAGCTTATTCTAATACCATATATACCCGAGTACATATCTAGAAAAAATAAAGCCTTCTTCCATTATTTTATATAATAATTCTGAAGAAGGCTTCATTTTCAGTTGTATATTCAGATGCCTTTCTTTTACAATTTGCTATCTAAGTTCGCTATCGCTTCTTTTTTATATCTATCAAAAAAAATCGCATCAAAATATAATTATTACGAACTTACCCTGAATTCCACCTAGCAAAAATGCATTTATTCATGTCTAGATGCTTTCACTATTTCCAAGAATATATCTTGAAAAATGAAGGCTTCTGCTATTTTTATATAATATAATTACGCAGTTAACTTCACTTTTAGTTGTATATTTAGATACTCTCCTTTTATGATTTGTTGACTAAGTTCGCCATTGCTTCTTTTTTTGTATCTATTAAAAAAAATAATTAAACATTTTAGAAATATAAAGTTTTACTAACTAACGACATGCATACACCAACTACTTCTGACTAAACTGTTCACACTGGAACTGGCCCCCTCGCCCACTACGACGGCGCCAACTCTGAGGAATACTTGAGCAACTCAGATAGCTATAATGATAATAATTCTGATTGTAGATCAGATGATTATAATAACTATAAGTTCAATTGTGAGTCAGATAGTGAAGAAGCTTCCTGCGCTTCATCCAGCACTACCGAGACTTCATTAGTTCAGCTACCAAATATACAAGAGCAAAAGACTAATGCAACATACACTTTAAGAGAAGAAAAGTTTAATACCGATTTTATTATCAAAGATCTGCTAAATAGTATTCAGAGAATTCTCTTATCACCACCTAGAGATATGTTAAATGATAAAGGGTTGTTAGATTGTCTTCCAATCTATTCATTTCTCTTTCTAAATGAAAAGGGCCCCAGTTTATATAATGCTTATGACTATAATGAAGTAGAAGATAAATTGGTTATCAAAATCGACCAAGATGATCAAGCCCCAAAGTTTTCTGTTGCAGATGATATTGCAGAAGTATACGGTTTACCCAGGATTCATGAATGTATTAATGGTTAAAATCCTATAAGAGCCATGATTGATATTGATGCTTCACAAGAAGATATGAAAACAACTGGTGTTAAGGCACAAGAAGTATTCGTTCGAATTTGTTGCTCTTTCATAAGAGCTTTGTATCAAATTCTTGACTGTGGCTGGAAGGATATTCTCAAAGAGTTAGTAATTGCTATGTCTTCAGATCCTAGTAAATGCAGTTATCACATTTTATATACACCAGCTCTCCTCATAGATCATCGTGAACTCAAAGCTTTCACAGACTTAGTATATACATTAACTGGGGAAAAATTTGGTAAATATATTGATCAAGGATTACCTGGTCGAAATTTTAATCTACGGCTTATTGATTCAGCAAAAAAAGGCTGTGTAAAGCGTATTCTTCAATTCTCACTAGATAATGGGTAGAATGAACTCAATCATGTTAGGGTTCAACTGCCTTTTAATTTGGATCTCGAAGTAAAGCCTCGATTACTTAGTGAAGAAAAAAATAATAATCCACTAAGAATGATTGTGGATCAGGATATATTATAAAAATGCGCGGCCTTAGTTTTGCAAAAGCATTCTAAATATCTTAGGGATTGGACTATTGAAGAAAAAGATTCACAAAGCTTTGTGTATTTTAACTGAAAAGCTCTACTAGAATGTCTACTATGTAAACGCATATATGACAAGAATCAGCGGTGGTTCAGTCATGTATGTGCTAATAGTGGGATGTTCGTCGTAAAATGCTTTCGCCAAAATAGCAATGAATCTGGGGAAATATTTGAATGTGACCTATCTATTGCGAAAAAAATTCTGCAAAAAAATAAAATTTTACTACAACCTTCTTGCAAGATAAAAGGCCCGGGCTTCCCAAGAGCTTTCGTAAAAATACCATCTTGGGTCAAATATAGTGAGACCCTTACGGCTACAGAAACTTACAAGGAAAGGTATGTAAGACAATTACCTAATAAGGGCAATATTTATATGGGATCACCTTGGGAAATGGAAAAAACATATATTCTTGAAAATTTGGTTATTCCTGATGACATAAATTTACTAGTGCTGTCTACGCGCTACTCTTACTCGAATGCTGTTACTACAAGGCTTAATCTTAAGTCATATTGCGATATTGATAGTAATATAAATTTACTCAATCAGAAGAGGGTAGTATGTCAGATAGAGAGCTTACACCATATTACTAATAATTGCAAATATAATAAAAAATGTAAATGTCGTCCTAACCAATATGATTTATGGCTTGATGAAATAGTGTCTATAATTGCTCAAGCACAAAGTCATTTGGCTGGGCAATCGATAGAAAAATTGTATAAATTAATTCAAGAAGCGAGGCATGTTATCATCATGGATAATGATCTTACTGATCTTAATATCGAATGGATTAAGCCTCTTCATAAGGATAGGCCATTCGCTATTATTCATAATATTTATCAGCCTCAGAATGGTAAAACATTCCGCTTGGTTCCTAATAAAGAAACTGTGTTAGCTGAACTTTGGGATTGGGCTAGGCAAATATTTTCACTACCTTCTGAGAAAAGAACATGTGCATCGCTCATCTGTCACTTTAGAAAAGACGTGCAAAGAATTGTTCGTGCTCTCAAAACTGATTTTCCAGAATTACGGATTAAAGAATATCATGGTAAATCTGATCCAGTAGAAAAGGCTCATGACTTCAGCAACGTAGAAAAATCATGGAAAGACTTAGACCTAGTTGCCTATACCAATACTCTGAAGATAGGAGTGTCTTGCACCAATCCTAAGTTTAAATGAGCATTCTGCATTTTTAACAGTTATATAGAAACGAATGCTGGGATGAATCAGATGTTATTCCGCATGCGGTGTATCAAAGACTATATATGTCATATCGAACAAAGATCTTCTAACGTTCCCATTATAGAAAATATGCTATTTCAGTGGTTATTAAATGCTAAACGTGAATGTCTCCCTCAAGAACTTCAGAACAGAGGAATATTTCCAGATATAGACTCTATCATTTGGAATAAGGATGTACTGACTATTTGATTATGGGTGGCCAATATGTTGGAAAAATTCTGTTCCCAGTGCTTATTTGGTTGGAGAATGGTCGATTTTCTCAGAGAGGCGGATATGGTAATTTCCATCATAGAGCCTATCCCTAAATACAATGAAAATGTTACATCGTTATCTCAAGTTGTGAAGGTGAATTCTGCTACCATTAAAGCAGAGGAAATATCAGCAATAACTAATGCTACTATTGTTAATCATGAGACTGCTGAATTTTTAGAAAACAAGCCGAAGAAGACTTTAGAAGAGATACGCTCTTTAGACTGACATCATATTGCAGATTGTTATAAGATTTCGCCTAAATTATTGACTGAGGAATTTATCACGAAGTATGGGAATTATAATCATATGAAATAGTTTAAAGCTTATAAGCAATTATGAGATGCTGGTATTGACAATGAAATGGCTGTTGAAGCAATCACCCATAAAGATTATAGAGAAGATAGGCTTACAACTGCAACTCGAGCTAAGAGGCATCGAATTTGCTTAGAATTATTAAGGATTTGCACACTAGCTAGAGATATTGATAATAGAGTTAGATATAAAGCTGATGATGTTAAAATATGCATTGATTCTCCTGAAGCAATATCATATCTCCAAGATTTAGTTCCCAGAATGGCTCAAGTATTCGACAATACAGATGCATTACGTAGAGCTAAAAAATCAGGATTAAAAACAATTCGAGTGAAACTTGGTTTACTGAATTCAGCACTATACGCAACATATGAATTAAAATTTAAGGCTATAGATAAGAATGCTAGATATTATCATCTAGTTAGCCCATTTGATGATGAAGACGCCCCAAAGCTTCCATTATATCAAACAGGAGAAGAAATATACTGGGTAAATGAAAAAGATACTTGGTATAGCTATAGTAAGCTTTCACCTGATGAAATATTAATATAAATATACCATACCCTGGTCAGGGTATATACTTTAAAAATGAAGGCTTTTGCCAATATTTATATAATAGATTACGCAAAAGCCTTCATTTTTGAAATATATTTTTTCTTACTCCTTGGTAGACAATTCATAGGCCTTTCCGAGTTGAAGGGTCCCAACCCCATACTTCTGCCTCATTCGATAATTGAGCGAATGGAATTTGGCTGAATGTTTGGGACAACATTCTGTAATGAAAATAGTAAGGAAACCACAAACAAGGCAGGGTTTTTTTTCATATTTTTTTCATGTGAAGTCCAGTGTTTTTCACAGCTAGTAATATGAGTACAGACTCTCCCACAAATAGGCAAAACATCTTTTAGACCCTGCAAGGAGAACACCATATAAATTACAGAAGATATTTAGGATCTGTTTGATATGTGCTAATACTGTTCTTCATGTAGGGTAGTCTTCTGCCAATATTTATATAATAGATTACGCAGAAGATTACCCTCGATTTATACTATCTGCTAAGATTCTTTTGCTATTATTTTATATAATATTTTCACAGAAAAATACCCAACTACATACTATAAAAAATAGTGCTATTCGACTTAATAATATAAATGAAAAAAAATTTTGCTTACTTTCCGGCAGATAATTCAGAGGTGATTCCTAATGCTCCAAATTTCAAGCTAACCACTAATCCCCAAAGAGGCCAAGACCCATATCCTCATCGTCCTTATCATCTGACTCAGAAATGAAGCTTCATAGATTCTGGGTAGCTCTGGAGCTGAGCTTTTAATTACAACCCTATCATCTAGTATTTTGACCCGGATTGAATTTGTTAAATTTCTTCCTAATGAGTCTGCAAATAGTTGAGGTATGTATGTTGACAGTAGGTAAAGTTATTATATCACAATATATTTCCAAAATGTTTAATTAATTTTTTTAATAGATACAAAAAAGAAGCAATGGCGAACTTAGCCAACAAATCGTAAAAAGAGAGTATCTAAATATACAACTAAAAGTGAAGGTAACTGTGTAATCTATTATATAAATATTGGCAGAAGCCTTTATTTTTCAAGATATGTTCTCAGGAATAGTGAAAGCATCTAGACGTGAATAAATGCATTCTTGCTAGGTGGAATTCAGAGTAAGTAAGTTCGTAATAATTATATCCTGACATGATTTTTTTTGATAGATATAAAAAAGAAGCGATAGCAAACTTAGTCAACAAATCGAAAATAGAAGATAAGCAGACATGTATCCGAAAGTAGAGCCTTCTTCAGAATTATTATATAAAATAATGGAAGAAGGCCCCATTTTTGGATAGGTACTCGGGTATATGTGGGTATTTAGAGTAAGCTAGTATGCACCTGGGTATATGTGACATATATTGGATACTTATACTTGGATAGCAAATCATAAAAGGAGGATATCTGAATATGCATCTGAAAGTATAGGCTTCTGTGAAATCTTTATATAAAATATTAGCAGAAGACTACACTTTTCTAGATATATAGTCGAGTATGATATAAACTTGGATATGGTATGAAGGCTTCTGCAGAATTATATTATATAAATCTTGGCAGAAGCCTTCATCTAGTTGGATGTTACTAAAAAGTCTCAATGACAAAAAAGGCATTAAGATATGTATCCAAAAGTGTAGCCTTCTTCAGAATCTTTATATAAAATAATGGAAGAAGGCTACACTTTTCCAGATGTGTACTCAGGTATGAGGTAACTTCGAAAGTGCTTAGGAATAGCAATACATGGCCGGCACAGTAGGCATAGTAAATTATGATTTCGGCCAACACTATTTCATAATTTCGGTCAGAACTTTGGGCAAAAGAACTTGGTATCCAAGCCGACATATAAGTAGTCTGAAACTGGCGAACTAATAGAACCTTTTTGGTTCTCTACCAGTTTTCTGCTAGTGCCATAATAGTTCTAGATACTATCGCTCTACTACTATGGTGCTGAGTTGGGATCCTCAAATCATGTGTTCTAAATATCAGCCAGAATTATAGCATAATCTTAGCCAAAATTAACTATGAATTTACTACACCACTCAATGTGATATTTTTTTTTACCACAATTCAGTATTTTAATAGGCAACCAAACAGGTGCAAAAAGGTAAACACCTTAATATAGAATTTGGTACCCAAACAGATGCAGAGGGCCAGCATCCTCAATATAAAACTAGGTATCCAAACAGGTATAGAAGACCAGTATTAACAATATAGAATTTGGTGTGTAAATGGATTAGGAACAAGAAGGAAATAGCAGTACTTAGATCACATGTTGGTAGTTAGATTAAATAGTGAGTGGTAGTTAGATCGTATGGTGGTAAAATATAAATATCAGAAAGAATTCAAAGAGATAGCTAGAACATAAAATAGATATCTGATATAAGAAATATATAGATTATATAGTAGTAATTAGATTACATGTTTAGATTATGTAGCATTTATTAGATTATATTATTTAGATCATATAGTGGTGCTCAGATTATATAGTGCTATTCAGACTATATAGAGATATCTAGATTATATAATGATATTCAGATTATATAGTAGTATCTAGATTATATAATCTAACCTAAGTGGGATATCACCTGTAATATAATTATATTACAGGTGGTATCCCACTCGGTATATTTTTCTAAAGCAATTTAGACTTTATAACATGTTTGATCATGACAATAATAGGCTGCCAAGCGGGCAATCATTATTTAAATTGTATCAAGATTGTACTACTGAGATTAAAGTTTTAATAAATAAATAATCAGATTATATATATTGACTAGACATCAAATGTGAATGCTAATGATGCGATTCATTTTTAGAAATTTAATGATGATATACCTCCTCGCTTGAATCAAGTGTTGCCCATGATAGACCGGATGATTTCACGCCATAAAAAATATCAATATGGAGCGTTACTCAACAGATATTGTCTTGTGATGATGGGAAGATATTTCAATCACAAAATTAAACAAATAGATGTGAATATTAATTTATATGATTCTAACAGGTGAAAAAAAAGTTATTCGCTCTTGCTACAGTCAATCATCCTCACACCCAGAATTTGAATTCTTATTCAAATTTATATCAGATATTTTTTTATAATGAAAAATCTTTGTGATTTGATATACTTATTTCTAGTAATCTAAGCTTTTTTGTTTATATTCAATAAACTAGATTATCACATTTGTTCATGCAGTTTTGCTAAACATAATTCTGAAGGAGTTCTGGGATTGTGATGACAATCAACGAATAATTTTTAAAGGTAATATATTTTGAACAATTAAAATGTTTATCGTTAGTGTAATTAAATATTACTATTATTTTTATAACTATAGAACAGTTTGTCGCATTCAGGCATTATGAAGTGCTCTCACTGCACTATATTTTAAATAAATTCAAAGTATAAAATTTTGTTTAGTTATTTCATCATACACATAGCATATCAGTCTTAATGTTAAATATTATTTATCCATTGAACATTAAGATTACGCAATGCAAGTGGCTTTTTGTAGAGAGTTACAAAAAAAACAAAATCGAAGCTAATAAACATACTGAACTATTATATGAATTTATCTGGTGGATATTTGATTGTTTTGTTATTCTGTTGCTTCAAGTAAGAAATTTATGAATTTCTAGTACTTCCAGATTCAAATTTCTTGTCAATATATTTATTTTGTACATTCGCATTTTTCAGAATACTTTCTATATAACTACCAACGCAACATTCAAGAATCGCGTGTTTTACTATTGTCACGATATCTGGTTACGAATTGAACAAAGCAGTATAGAATCATTGACAGAAGGCACCTTTGAAGAAGTTCCCAAAGTGTGTAAATTCATAATTAAAAAAGCGCATCTTTTAGTTAGAAAGTGGCATACTTTAGAGGCACCAGGCTCAAGTTGGAGTGGTTTAAAAAAATGTCTGTAAATTTTGGTACAAACTGGAGTAACTTGGAGTGAATCTAGACATCTTTAATTTAATGAAATTAGTTGAAGGTTGATGATACCTCATATGCTAGTAATTGATTACTACGCTTTATTTGCAGGAGAATAAGAACCAATTCTTAAACAAAAGCATTTTGAGATATTCTACTATGCAATTTATTCCAAACAATTTGAAAGAAATGATGCGGCCTGTTATTAATCTGAGTAGAGTGCCAAAGGTAGTTTAAATAAAAATTATCTTTTTTTTTTTTAAGGCATTTTGATTTATTTTTAACTAATTTAGTTATAATACTTTTATCTGGTAAATAGATATTAGATGTCCAATAGAAGAGTGCAGAAGAAATCTGTGAACACAATTTTACGAGATACGTTTCAAGCATTAACATATGAAAAGGTGACTTTTGTAATTTTCAGGATGTTCTTTTATAATTAGATTTTATTTGCTAAATTTTGTTGAATTCAACAAATGTTTAATTTCAGGATATGTAATTATCGGACCAAGATTCTTCTAAGCTGGGCGGTTCAGTATTCAATTTTAATGAAATTTACAAATATTTGAAAAGTTTTAAACAAAAGCTTGGTGAAAATAAATCAAAATTATATTTTGCAAAAGTGGATGTTAAATATTGTTTTGAATCAATTAATCAGGATCAAGTCTTGGAAATAGTTAAAGATGTATTAAAAGAAGTAAGTTCATTTTTATTTACGTATTGTTAGAGAAAAAGTAATTATAACTTTTTTTTTATTTTAGAGTGAATATGCAATTCATAAATATGATATAGTTTGTCAAAAAGGTGGTGCAGTGCGTGCACGTTTTAACTATTATGCCAACTCATTAGGTACTATACTATCCAATTTTGTAATTATTACATTTACGCTTGTGTTATTTACATTAAATGATATTATAGATGAATTTCCTGATTTTCCGAATTTTGCAAAAAAATCAGCACAAAAGTTCCCAAATTCAGTTTTTATTGATCGCGTTAGAGAGACGTTTCTAGATAAGAATGATATACTTGGTCTTTTGGAAAAGCATATAAAGTACAATTTAGTAAAAGTATGATTCTGAAACTGCTATATATGTTGTATAATTTGTCGTTGCCTAATATAACAATATGCCATGTTTTTAATACGTAGATTGGGAACAAATTTTATAAAAAGTGTGTCGGCATTCCACAGGGGTCGGTCGTATCGACGTTGCTTTGTAGGTTTGTACTGATATAATAAATTTTTTTTCTTTCTTTGATGGACTTGTTATATATGTATTTTATATATATATATAATTCATAATCAATTTTAGCTTTTATTATGATAAGATGGAATGGGAATTATTTCCTTTTGTAGAACACGATGATGGTGTAAGTAAATGTGACAATTTTAGTAAATTTAGTGTTCTCTTGACTAAAGATTGAATTTACAGATCATGTTACGTTTTCTTGACGATTCACTATACATAAGTACGGACAAAAAGAAAGTTGAAAGATTTATAACTGCAATGCATAAAGGTAAAAATTGCAATAAATCCTGGATGAGATTTTGTAATTTTATTAAATACTTTATTTTAGGTCATCCGAAATATAGTTGTGTTGTTAACAAAGAAAAGAGTTTAACAAACTTTGATATTATCATTGATGGGAAGCCGATAGAGAAATTGAGTAATACGTGTGGTAAATTAAATATTTTTGTTTTTTATTGTAACTTTAACAAATTTTTTTTAATCTATATAAAAATGGATTTCAGATTTTCCGTGGTGTGGAATTTTAATTAATACATCATCATTGAATTGTAAAGTTGATTATATGCGATATAGCTTTTCATGTAGGTCTTCTTAATTCGTTATTCTATATCTGATATATTGATGTACGTAAGTACGTTACTCATTATGTATTTTAATAAATCATGTAGATATTGCAGATACTTTAACAGTTAATACATCAAGACATCCCGGTGAAGCATTTAGACAGAAAATGATAGAGTAAATATTATATATCATTTCATTTATTATTTTTATGCATGTATATAAATTATATCTTCAAATTAGCATCGTCACCAAGAGGTGTCATCCAATATACAATGACACATCATTCAACACCAGAGCAACTGTGTTACTTAACATTTATCAAAATTTTTTGCTGACGGCTATGAAATTTCATCACTACGTCAAGTGTCTATCGCGACGAGGTGACTTAAGAAATGAAGCCTTTGAAATAGGTATTAGTTATTGTTATGAGTATTGATTGGTTGTATTTTGAAAATTGTTTTTAGGGCTAAGATCTTAGTTTAGTTATTGTATTGTCAATACCATTTATAATTAATAATGCAAAATTCTAAATAACTTTGGCAGATGTAGTGCAAAATACAATTAATTGTGAATACCGAGTGATAATTAATAAGTCTAAATCGAATTTTTCACATCCCGAAGTATCCTGGCACGTATAGATTTTTTATTTTTTTTTTGTCTTGCTAAACGTTATTATATTCTTTATTTTTGTATAGGTTAGGTATGCATGCGTTTCATCGTATACTTTCTCGAAAGCAAACAGGTCATAAGCAACTTCTGGAGCATCTGAAATCCAAAATCCATAATTCACCAATGAATAAAGTCAAACAACTTCGAATGGCTGCTGATTGGAACAATTCAAAAATATTTAATAATATCAAATATTAAATAGCTGTTTGAAAGATTGCAGTGTATATAATTTTAATTGTAAACTTAATATTTGCTATATAAGAGTATTCTACCATTAATAAATATAATATAGCAATATGAATGCATCCATAAAATT